TGCTAACCCTGTTTGAAAGGGGTATGCAAACAGCCAGCCTGGCTGTGTGCCTGTTTTAGGGAGTTGCCCAGGGGTGGGGTGTTTGGTGCTGAGGGGCGAGGCTGGGAGGAGAAGCGAATGCATCTCGCCCAGGACAGAACCCCGGGAGGAGGACAGGCAACCACAGTGTGAGGGTGGGGTCTGAGCCCAGCGCTGCCCACACCTGACACACAGCATACAGAGAAAACAGTGTGGCTGGTGGCAGAGAAGAAGGGGGCCAGGGAACCTAGGAAGGACAGTAGGGAGGCGAGGGCACTGGAGATGTCCGCCTGAGTGCTTTCCTTGTTGACAGAGGGAATTCTGCCCCCGCCTGCTGAACGCAGAGCTGGGCTGGGAGAGAGGCACTGGCCGGGGAGAAGTCGCCAAAGCGGTCCTAGCTGATCTCCATCCTGCTTCTCCAGGACACATGGCTCTTTCCAGCCTTGGCAGCCGGCAGTGGGTGTCACTCAAGGTCCTCCCCAACCTGGGGGAAGAAGAGCCTCCTTGGGGATTTCAGTAGATGCTGAGGCTGACGACTCGGGCTCTCAGGAGGCCCATGGAGACCCACTCTGCCCCAGGCTCCCTTCCCAAAACACCCACCCCAGGACCCCCTTGGACTCGAGCCCCCTGGGCCACCAGAAGAAATGGCTTCTGAGACCTCAAATGCCGGAGACCCACATGCAGCCCTGGCCTCCTAATCGGTCCCAGATTCGGGACGGGGCTCCGGGTTTTTAGATGTGCCAGGAGCTTCAACAGACACAATCTATGTCCTTCACCCCCTCCACCACCTGTCCAACGTAATGCAAGACAGGAAGCAGCCAGGGGTCATGGGTGAGAGGAACACAGACCCACAGGGACCCTTCCAGGACCTGCTAGCAGCTGGTCCAGCCCTAGCCTCAGTCCCTCACTCTCTCAAGCGTTGATCATCTTTTCAGACCCTGTAGGACCTCGGCTGGATTTATTGCCCCCTCGGCTCTAAAGGGGACTTCCTGTGGATCTCACCTAGGGAGCCCTCTGGTGCTCAGAGGCTCCGGGGAAAGGCTTGAGCCATGATGCCACGTGCCCAGAAGCCCCACCTTCCGGGGCCCTGGCCATGATGTAACTGTCTTTCGGAGCCACCGACTCTTGATTCATGAACACAGCCCCGGCCCCAGTGGGCTCCCTTCAGCAGGGTGGTTGCCAGCTGCCTAAGATGGGTGACACCTGGTCCCAGCTGCCCTGGCCTGGGCCCCCCCACCCAGCTGTGCTGCTGGTCTCCCTCCTCTTGGCAGCTGGGGCCATGCGCTCGGATGCTGGCGCTAGCTGCCCGGTCCTCTGTACGTGCCATAACCAGGTGGTGGATTGCAGCAGCCAACGGCTGTTCTCCGTGCCCCCAGACCTGCCGATGGACACTCGCAACCTCAGCCTGGCCCACAACCGCATCACGGCCGTGCCGCCCGGCTACCTCACATGCTACATGGAGCTCCGGGTGTTGGATCTGCGTAACAACTCCTTGGTGGAGCTGCCCCCGGGCCTCTTCCTCCACGCCAAGCGCTTGGCACACCTGGATCTGAGCTACAACAACCTCAGCCACGTGCCGGCTGACATGTTCCAAGAAGCCCACGGCCTCGTGCACATCGACCTGAGCCACAACCCGTGGCTGCGCAGGGTGCACCCCCAAGCCTTCCAGGGCCTGGTGCAGCTCCGAGACCTGGACCTCAGCTACGGGGGCCTGGCCTTCCTCAGTCTCGAGGCCCTGGAGGGCCTGCCAGGGCTGGTGACCCTGCAGATCGGCGGCAACCCCTGGGTGTGCGGCTGCACCATGGAGCCCTTGTTGAAGTGGCTGCGGAACCGGATCCAGCGCTGCACGGCGGGTAAGGCGGGAGGGCGGGACTGGGCAGCCACGGGCACAGAGGGGCTTGCCTCCCTGCCAGCAAAGGATCCAAAGAACAGGGAGGGACTGAGAGCTCTTAGCACCCGGTGCGTGCCCTGGTCTGGGCTGGCCTCTGTGCACACCAGCCCTGTCCCCCCACAAGTTTCATCCGTTGAGTCCTTGCCCTGCTTGCTGGTGCCGTTCGCCAGTGAAACACACACCACCCTTGCATCTGCGGCACTTGGGACCTGCGGAGGCAGACAGATAGTAAACGAGAGTTGCTGAGCTTTTGCCGTGACCTGAGAACTTGGCACGCGTTACCTCCCCTCATTTTGGTGACTCCCATTTTGCAGGTGAAGAAACTGAGCTCTAGAACAATGAAAAGACTTGCCCGGGGTCGCTCATTTAGAAAGTAGCAGGGTCGTGGATAAAACCCAAGTTTATTTGACTCTTAAGCCCTGTTCTACTCTACCAGGCTGCTTTTTAAAGTATTCCAAGTGCTGGAAAAACTCAAAGAAACAGAAACAGGCAAACACTCTTTATTTTAGTACTTACTATCTGCCAGGACTTACTCTTATGCTTTATCCTAAACATATGTCATATTTAGCTCATCTCATCCTCAGAAGAACCATGATGAGATCCCTACACACGCTGTTCTATAGAGAAGGAAACCAAGGCGCAGAGAGGGTCAATCACTTGCCCAAAGCCACACAGCTGCTAAGTGTTGGAGTCAGCATTCAAACTCTGGCAGTCTGGCTGCCTTCTGGCTATATCCTGAAGAGTCAGGTCCAAAGCTAACAGGAAGAGTCGGGGCCTGAGTTCTGGGCTGCCCAAAGGGCCTTAGCAGAGCTCTGCAAGGTTAGGGCATGGGGTGGGAGCTGAGAAGAAAAATGGATTTGGCGACTTAACCAATCAATCCCATTTGGGGGTGCACTGGGGACTGATGGAGAGTGAATCACAGAGGTTGGATGGGCCCTGACCTCACCTGGAGGCAGGCAGTGCTCAGATGCGGCCCCCCGTCACTGGCTCTCTTGTGTGGCAGCACCGAGCCTTGGCATCAGCCCCCCTGCAGTAGAATGACGGGAAATAGCTGGGGGCACCATCTCAGGGGCTTTCCCAGAGCCTGGCTCAGCATGTGTTCCAAAAGAACGATGCTGAATGAGGTAGGAGGGAGAGGAAGACTGAGTGGGGAGCCCAGGACCAAAATAGTTTGGGGGAGGGGTGTGGGTCACGATTCCACTGTTTCTACACAGTTGTGGGAGGAAGTTCTCCGGGACCAAAATAGCTGGGGATGGAGATGGGACAATGCTAGGGGGCACGAGGGGGAGGCTGCCTAGAGCCATCTCCCCACCTGCTCACCCCTTGAAGGCTGCAAGCTGTCCCCTCTTTCCTGTGTACTAAGGACAGAAAGGGCACCCTGGAGCACATTTGCCACCACATGCACCTTCCACCTCCTGTGATCTCTGAGACCCCTGCTCCCCTTCAGAAGAAGCACAGCCTCCTGGGGAGCAGGAGAGAGGTCCAAGATCCCATTTGGGCAGACTCATGACAGTGCAGATGAGGGATCCCAGCCCCAGAGAGGGAATGTAACTGTCCATTGGCCACAAGGTTCCCCACTCTCCACCAAACAAGCTCTTCAGCACATGACATCCTCCAGGATATTTCCTCTTGGGCGCAAAGAACCTGCCAGCATAGGGAGGACCAGACAATCATCTTCCTTTTGTCTTCTTTTTGTTCTCCTACAATTATCCATGGTTTTTGGACAAATCCCAAGAGAGAGGGACAGAAGGGTGCCCTTGGGATATACTCAACCTCAAAACTGGCCCCTTGAATTACCAGAGGGCTTTATCAGCCCTCAGGGTCCCATCCTGAACTCCCCCGGGGTCCTGCCAGTTGTCCTCAGAGCCTCCTCTGCAGGGTCCATACCAATTGCCTTCAGTTTCCCCCACATTCCCTGACTTTACATTGTCTTGCCACCACCCCAGTCATGCACACAATAGACTTTGGAGTTATGCATCTTCTGGTTCTAAGAGGAGAGCCCTTAATGGTTAACTTCAGATGCCATATTGTCCTGAGCAGGGTCTGGAGTGCTGTGCATGTGGCCAACAGGGACCCCTCCACGTGCACTGCAGATTGCATCTTCTCCCCCAAACTGACTCCTCATTTCTAAGGAGAATGATGTTAATCCGTTTCTCAAAAGGGGCAATCCAAATCCATCATTTTATTCTTTGCCCTCAAAAACTACAGGATGAATAAGCGTTTATGTACCACCTAATTTAGAAAACTTCTGCATATTGACTCTTATACAATTTAGGTTGAATTATCCCCTTCTTATGGAGGGAGAGCACGAGAGCCAGAAAGGCAAAAAAACAAAAACAAAAACAAAAAAACGACTTGCCCAAGGTGAGAGCTTAATTAATACTTATACCCTGAGCAAAGGGTTGACTGCCTGCTACAAAGCTGGTGCCTGGCAATGCAGGACAGAGCTCCCAACTGCACACCACTCTTACTTCCAAGGCAGAGTAAAATGAAACCATTGACAACCATGTGTTTGTACAAGTGACCCTGGAAAGGTGAGGTGGGACCATCAATGATGGAGAGAAAAGTAATCCCATTGAAGGAGAAGCTTCTCCTACAGAAGACTATCTAAAGAATATGACCCTCACTGACTTGTCCAGGGAGACCAGCCTAGGATACTAACAAAAGCACATGTTTACATAGTGCTTATTATCCGCCAAGGATATATTATTTATATATGTTAACTCACTGAGACCTCACTACAATCCTATGTTACAGATAGCATCATTATCGTTATTTTACAGATGAAGAAAGCAAGACACAGAGGGGTTAAGTAAGTCACTCACAGTCACACAACTAGTGTGGGGTAGAGAGGGGATAGAACCCAGATCAATATCTCCAGAGTCCATACTCATAACCCTATACTCTACATCCCTGGAAAAGCCACATGGGATAGTAGAAAGACCCAATGCTTTCAAGTTGGACAGAGTCATTCATCCACACATCCACTTAACAAAGTTTCATTGAGCACTTACAGGGACAGGACCCTGTTCAGTGACTAGGAACACCATGGGAAGAACTTATATTCATGGAGGAGGAGACAGATAATAAAGAAACAGTGAGACAAGATAAATACAATGGAGAAAAATTAAGCAGAGCAGGAAAGTAGAGAAAGCCCAGAGAGAGGTGGTGTGGAGTTACTATGTTATATAGAATCATAAAGGAAAGGCTCATTAGTAAGGTGATACTTGAACAAAATCCCAAAGGAATAAGGGACTGAGCTGTGCCAAGATTCAGGGGAGAAGCACTCCCACACAGGACACATGCAAAGGCACACCCTCTCCACCCTGAAAAGGGATGTGCTCAGGGTGATGGAAGAATGATCAAAATGTGTGTGTGGATGGAGCAAAGTGAACAAGGAGCAGAGGGAAAGAAGAGTCCTTGTAGCTCACAGTGAGGACCTTGGCTTTCATTCCATGGGAAGATAAGAAGTCAGGGGATGGTTTCAAGCACAGAGTAGTACATGATAGGACTTCGGGTGTCAAAGATACTCAGCCAACTGCATCAAGATGGTTTAAAGGCAGAAGCCCAGAAACTAGTTAGGAAGCTACTGTAAGAGATGAAAATGTCACAAGACAGTGGTAGATCTACCATCAGTAGTGACTATTGGACTTCAGGCAAGTGACTAAACTCTCTGAGCAGTGATCTCCACAACTTTAAAAACAGGTATAAAATATTTGATTCAAGTGTTGTTGAGGAGAGTAAAGAAGGTAAGTAAAATGTTTGACACATAGAAACTCAATAAAAGGACTCAACTTCTCTTGGGGGAAGGGGGGTGGTGGGAGACTCTCCATTCCACTCACTCTCCTCTGGCCCCTCACCTTTCCTGGGTTCTGTGTTGCAGATTCTCAACTGGCTGAGTGCCGGGGGCCCCCTGAAGTCGAGGGTGCCCCACTCTTCTCCCTCACTGAGGAGAGCTTCAAGGCCTGCCACCTGACTCTGACCCTGGATGATTATCTCTTCATTGCATTTGTGGGCTTTGTGGTCTCCATTGCCTCCGTGGTCACCAACTTCCTCCTGGGCATCACAGCCAACTGCTGCCACCGTTGGAGCAAGGCCAGTGAAGAGGAAGAGATTTGACGTGGGTGCCTAACATCTCTCATGCTGCTGGCCACCACTGCTTCTGACCACTGGATGCTGCTCACTCTGGCTCCATGGTACCCTGGCCACTTCATGACCCAAGCAAGGTCAGGAAACCACCTTTGTGCGAGCCTCGACTGTGGGCCAGACACTGTGCCAAATGGAAATGTCAGATGACTCTAACCTAGCCCCTGCCCTCTAGGCTCTTACCTCTAATAGAAGAGAGAGATTCAAAAACTATTCCCTATAAGACAATTTGTCAGCACTCTGAGCACATAGTTATGAAAGCCCAGAGGAGGGATCATCAATTGTGCCTAGGAAAGTCTAAAAGAATTACAAGAATGGAGGCAATTTTCAAACAGAGTTATCAAAAAATGTCTGCTTTGTCAAGTAGACAAAGAAAGGGGGACATAAGCAAATGACGGAGGCCAAAATATGCATGGTGTGTTGAGAACAGTGACCACTCCTCATGACTTAAGTGTATAGAGCAGATGTGGCACAGGACCAAAACTTCCCTCTGACACCCAATCTTTCTGCTCCTGGAGTTGCCCAACACTGCCTCCTGAAGAAGAGAACACCCCCATGCCAGCCTCCTAGGTCTCCTGCCAGGAGCTACGAGGTGAGACCACCCCATATTGACTGCCTCCCAAACTAAGTCCACCAAATGCAGCCTGCAAGTGAGGTCCCAGGTACTGAGCTGAGGGTGGACACTTTCAGTGTCCTTTCTCCTACCCTTGTCTCCTGCCTCTCACTTGAGCTTCAGCTTCAGAAGAGGGAAGCAGGAGGTCCAGCAATTGGGCAGCAAGAGTCTTGGCACCCCGGAACTCCTAATCTTGTGACTGTTCTTGCCACGGTGCTCCCACCAAAGGATCTCATCAAGAAAGTGCACTGTAGCACGAGGGTAGCCAGGACTGAAGGAATAGAAGGCCACCACAGTTGTGACCATAGGAGGATTTGCTCTTTCTTCTGAGCAATTCACCCATTTAAGCATCAGGGTATGAGAGCTATTAATTAATTACCAAGCTGTTGCCAGTGTCAGGCACTGTGATAAGCTCTCTCCACAGACAATTCATTTTAATGCATACAACAATCTTCCGAGGTAAGCATTGTTGTTCCCATTGTACAGATGAGGAAATAAAGGTTCAGAGAGCATTCAAAGTCACATGTTGCTTAACAAGCAAAATAAAGTCTGTGTTCTTTCTACCCAATCCAAGTTGAGGAACATCACAGTTCCCTCTGAAGTTATATAAGTTTGAATTCAAGTAGTGCTGATGAATAAGTGCTCCCAACAAGGGCCAGGCACTCTTCGGGGCACTTTTAAATTTATTGACTTATTTATTTCAATTCTCACAGCAACACTGCCTGGTGGTTTTTATTATTCCCATTTTATAGATGAATTAAGTGTAGAGAGATGAGTATCTTACCCAAACTTATCCGGGTACACTCTAGAAGGAAGGTGATAGGCAGCTCTATTCAGGGAAACTGTCTAATCAGTCTGTCAAAAATCAAGTAACTTGATGTGTGAAGCTCTATTATCACCATTGTTGCCGTCATCTCCAACTTTGCCATCAGCTTCATCAGCTTCCACCCTGTTTTTGTTCAGCACTGGACAGCTCCTAAAATGCTGTGGCGTCATTCTTGACTTTTCACAACCCATTACTCCTATTTTACATATTGGAAAATAGAGACTCAAGAGCAGATGTGACTTGCCAAAGCAGTAAAGCTGGGACTCAACTCCAACTCGGTTCTCTCTTCAGCTTTCCCAGGTGTTTGGGAAAGAGAATGCCCAGGATGGCTGGGTAGTAGGGCCCTCGGATTCAGCAGCCATGAACGTCCAGTATGTCAGCTAAATAAAAGGCAGTAAAACCCAGCTCCTTCACAGATTTAGATGTTCTCACAGTAGAGCAATTGGAGCCTCTGAAACACAGGAGCAGCACAAATAGCACATGAATAGGAGTCATCTGCCTTGCAACGTGCAAATAACACATTAGAACTGGTGGCCTTGGTGGAAATCATGGAAAAAAGAAGTTCTTTGGGAAACGAGAGATGAAGCTGTGCTAACCCCTCCTACTCAAGCCCTGCTGTGTTGTGTTGCAAGAGATACAATGGTTGCAGGAGAGATGGGGTGAGAACCTCAGCAGGACAGAGGAGGACATTAAGGCACAGTCCAACATGTTGGTAAGGCTGGCCAGGATGAAGGTTAAAAACAGGGGCGTTCTACCTAGCCCTCAGATCCAACAATTTTGCATCGTCCCATCCTCCTAGGAAAGGAATAAAGAAAAATAACATGTCATCTTCCAAGAAGTCTTCCCTTACTCATGCTTCCTTGAGCTAGTCAACCAAAAGAGCACCCAGAAACTTTGCTGGACCTGGGGTACTTGAACCTCGTATCTCACAACATCTGAGCAAGGCCCCCACTCCTGTGACATCTGGAGTAGAACTGTGCCTGCTCTCTTCTTCCACTATGCCCAAGGACTGATGGACTGGGGCTGCTCTTTACCAATCAAGCTAATAGCCTAATGTACTTGGGGTGAAACTTTTAGAAATAATAGTGTTGACACAAATAGTTAAACCTCCCATAGAGGGGCACCATATACATCTATTATAATCTCCTAGAGACTCTTATTTGCTGAAATATAGTTAATATATTTTAAGATATGTACCTTTTTTGCATAGAACTAGAACCAAACAAGATTCCAAATGCCCCTTGAATTCAAATGTCCTTTATAATGAGATTATTTGGTCCCCATTAATGGCACACCTTTCTGAGTAGGATACATGGCTTTTAAACAACAGATTCCTCTCCAGCTACTAGAAGGTCCCCAGTTAACTAAAGCACAATGATAAAACTCCCTTACCGCCAAGGAATTCCATTTCTCCCACCACCATCTTGCACAGGCAATGAGAAGCAAGCTTCTAGAAGCACATTTCTCTGGAGGTAATCTAACTGCCCAGTTGGAAATGTTCACACAACCCTTCTGACCAAGAAACCATGATGGTATCCCTACAAGTCTTGAATAAGTTTTTCCAGACTAGTTAACACGTAAATGTTGTGGTATCTTTGAGTCCATGTGTCTGTTCATGAGGTTCCATATATGTTGGGTATCTACTGATATGGGGACAACTTCTCTGGAACTTGAGTTCATTTCCCTGACATTACTCAACCATCTCTTTATTGCATCACTTGATACACTAATATGGAATCCCATTAGGGCTGGGTTAGGTGTAGCTGCTCAGAAAAATATAAAAAGAGAAAAATATGTGGCTGAGGCAGCCCAGCCACAGCCTGACTGCTTCCTTCTGTTCTCTATCCTCATCACAGAGATTTGTCCTCATCACAGAATCTTCCTTCATGCTGGGTCTGAGGATATCAAAGTTTAACTAACCAACAGAGCTGTGACAGTCAAAGTCTGGGCCATGAAAATTGTTTTTTAGAAAAGACCCCAATCTGCACCACACCACTCTGGACCAGTTGCTTCTGGTCACACTCAGACAATCTCTCATCTGTTTCTCCATTCCTTTAGGGATTACCAGGGAATCCTGCAAAAATAGGTCCCCAGAGTTGCTACAGTTTGCTAGCTCCTCTCAAGGAAGATGGCATATGGAATTTGAACAAACCAAGAGAGGCATTTCTCTTCAACCATCAGGAAAGACCTACAACCTCCATTTTCCTTGTAGATGTCTTTGTTGATATTGCTCTGACATTCTTTTAAGCTCTGGAAGAGTATAAGGAGACATCTTTGCTCATCCCTCAGAAGAAAATTTTCCCAAAGCTAGAGAAACTTGTCTGCTCTACCCACCTCAGAAGGAGGCAAAAGGGAAGCGAAGGAGGCAAATTGCAAGGTCTTGTGTAAATCACTGCCATGTTTGCCACAGTTTTGGATAGAGAGCTCTGGATCCACTGAGCTCTCAGTTTTTCTAAGCACTGTCCTGTGGAATGCTGATGTCTGGGGGTGGGAGGGTTAGGGAGGGGTGGGGAAGGGGAAGATGCCAACCTTTGTATGGAGATGATTTTATAACCATGCACTTTTGTAACTGTGAAGAATTTTTCATAAATGTACATAAATAATAAAGAGTGTATAGTTTAACAAATTTTCTAAGGAGTTGTGAAGAGGAGGGAGAGGGAGGGAGGCAGGGAAAGAAAAAAAGAAAAAGAAGAACTAGGCAGAATCAAGAGAATGTGTGCCAAAATATACACACAAAAGGTCTATGGGGAGGGAGTAGATGGGAATAATTAGGAGACGTGCCAACCATGGAGGGGCATGTGTGGGAGTAGAGGGAACATCACAGAAGCATATTTCTACCAGGCAAAAAAGAATATGTGTGTGTCTGTATGCACACACCCCTGTGTGTAGGCATATTTTGGTGCCTGAAATTACACAAAGAAGAGAGCATATGTCTTATACATGTTGGTGTTTGCAGCTTGGGTCAACTATAAAACACGCCAAGGCAAGTGGGTGTGCCTACCTAATTAGCATCACTAAGGAGCATGTGCCAGGGAGATGGCCCACACCAGCTGTGTGCCCATAAAGACCCTAGCTCAGGCATACAGGTAAACCAGGCATTTAAATGCATGGTGTAAGGGTTGAATGATGATATCACTGGTATAGGTTCAGTTTCTGTTCTCATAGGCTAATAGAGAAGGGAAAGGATTCTTAACCACTTGGATCTTGCAAATGTTACCTACACACCTTTGGAAATGAGATGGTTGGATAGTGTACCCTGGGAAAAGGGACAGAAAAGAGGAGCAAAGTGTACTTTTATAAGTACAATGGCAGCCATTTTTTACTTAACACTCTAAAGAGGAAGTGGCTCTGAGCAGGAAGTTGATCCAAGCAGGAAGTGGATCTGAGCAAGAAGTGGATCCAAGCAGGAAATGGCTCGAGGCAGGAAGTGGTTCCTTCCACCAATAGGGATTTTCACCTTCCTGTATTCCCCCCACTCCAACTGCCACAGGGTATGGACAAATACTGCATTCAGAGAGTAAAGCCACTAACAGG